GTTCCATTTACAATTGCTTTGAAAGATAAGTCCGAGGTGCTTATGTTCAGTTAATTCCTTTATTCCTATTGAGTTCATTAGAAGGGGTGGTTTTACAATACTGCGTTTAGTTGTGAAGGTCAAAGTTTCTGTCTTGAGAGGGTTAAATGTCACTAGCCATGTTTCCGCCCATGTATTAATTGTTTCAAGATCTTTATTTAATGTAAGTGCGCATGCCCCTGGGTCGTCGATTTTCAGATACAGAGAGGTATCATCAGCAAAAAGTCGGATGTTCGATTGTATATTATTCACAATGTCGTTTATATATAATAAAAATAATAATGGTCCCAATATGCTGCCTCGTGGGACACCTGCGAGAATACCCCTGGGGTCCGAGAATATTCCGATATTAAATAGATTAGAACAATAGGTTAGAATAGAATAGCTTCGAACAACCAGTACAACCAGACACTAGAAATCTAAAGTCGATAATCGATACTATCATCTCCAAGGAAGGAGTTTGTCAAGTTGCATGCCAATCGTAGCCTTGGTCTTTTTGAAGAGCTGGTCCCTATGAAATGAAATGAAATGGGGTTTAACGTCCTACTGTTATGCTATTTTGAAATAAAGTTATTATTATTATTTATTATTATTATTATTATTATTATTAATGAAGACGGTCATACGCCATACAGTGTGCGATGAGGGACGTTTTGCCCGGGCAGCGGCACTATGGCATACTTTTATATCGAATTCCAACTGCCAATGGAACTTTTACGTGCACGCCAATGTGTCCCATCCGAACGACTAGACAGCTGTCCTTGTCAGGCTCTCCGTCCTGCATCACTGACAAGGGAAACCACGTAGGAAAATCCCGATGAACTTTCTCGGCCAATGCAGAGATCGAACCCGCGACCTCCAGGCTAGCGAGCTAGCGTCTTTTTTTTTCTTTTTTTTTCTTACCCACTTAGCTACCGTGGCTCCTTGGTCCCTATGAACAACAATGTAAATAAAACGGTGATGATGGCAACATAAACGAGGGCTAAATTACATAAGTTCAACTAAACAAAACAAACCGTAAGATATTAGAGAGTGGGTAAACAAGGCTATTTGGAAAAAGGGGATAACACCAGGAACAACAGGGTTCATCCTCTCATGGCCACAATTTAGATAACAAATTTGAAAGTAAGTGCACCAACTGGGCTAATGAAGACAGATATGCGCAATGAAGCAGGGCACTAAACGGGTTATTTTTTTACATCCTACTCGTCTGTTCTTCAGGGAATTCCAACTGCAGCCCAGTTCCATTCATACAAATGACTATCAGCGCTCATAAGTTCTTTACTTGCACACCAAAGTGTGCACAAAAACCCCAATGGGCATCCTCGCTGAAAGAACCCCCCCCCCCCCCCACACACGCGTTACTCGTAAAACTCGGTAAGGGAACCGTATTTCGACGTTTATCAACACACCAGAACGTAATGAATATACGGGGAAACCATTCTGTAAGGTAAACAGTGAGGTCACGTGGGCCCGCCTGCTCTATGGTTTCACCTATAAATTATGTCCCCTTATCTCTAGCGAGGACGCCCGTTGTCCAAACCATCATCTAACCCGCGACCCCCTAGCCAGCGCCCCAGTCACTGAGCCTCGCATTATTTCGAAGAATAATCTTGTTCATATTGATAAATCACTCCTGAGAATATGTTTGGTATTAACAGTTGACAGCGGCACTTATTATTTGTATTTTGTATTTTTTTTTTCGCATATCAAATTGCAGAATGAAACACAGCTGTCATACTATTTTTATGTAATTGTTAGCACAGGCAGGCAGGTTGTCGTTTTTGTCACAGCAAACTAACAGCGAACTCGTACGGTTTTTAATCTCACTAAAAACCATTCGCTAATTTCCAATGTAGCAGTTTATAGAAATCAAGAAATAGTGCTTAATGTCCACTCGACATACACTCGACCACTATTCAATAATTATTTTGAGCGGAAGGTTGTTTATTAGTTTGGTAAAGCTATAAAGGTTTATAACCTTAAAGATACATTATGGGAGATTAGTTAAAGAGCTGCCAATTCTCACTATAACAGTTAAAAACTAGATAATGTAAAGGCAATTTTCTGAAAATTTCAGTCAAATTGATCCACTATGAACCGAGATTGGAGCGATTGAATATTGGGGCTAGCCTCGATCATCATTACTAAAGTCGATAGGATAAAAAGCATAGTCTCGATTATCCTTTTTTTTAAATTCAATTATGAATGGAAGTCAAGCAGCAAATCGGGACGTAATCCAATAAACATCACAGGCTAGCGATGCCATCGAGAGTTGATTATGGTCTGGATAAGTTAATTTATGTCTAATTAATAATTTATATAACATTTCAGGCCTAGTGAAAGACCTGCAATAGGCAAATTTAGCTCTTGCATAATGTATGTTTAAGGGAGCTAAATCGCTAATATATGAGGCCTTGAAATTGACACAAATGGGTCGCAAAGCATATGATAATGTAATATGAATTTATATAAACTGATTTACATTCAATCGTTTCCGTTTTTCCTCTTAATTTTAAATCAGTTATGTTCGGCGAAATACGTCAGAAGGCTCAATCGATTGGCAATCTCTAGCATCTGGTTATTCCAGTCTACATAGTATTAATTGGGCATGGTCTCCAGATAAGAATATGAGGTCACCGTTTGACATGACTTGTGGAATATGCCTAGCTTCTTCAAGTCCTTTGTTACAAATGGGACTGAAACCAATTATGGTACACGATTCGTGTACCATTAGTAAAATGTTTATGTTGTCTTAAATATTGGATATCAGAAACCCATCTTTTCCCGGTATAATGACAACATCAATGTTTATTTAAATTGACAAATAATTTGTGTTTTCGATGTCGAAGACTTGGTATGATATTGAGTTAGAGACCTAGCTCCTTTAATTATACACTCGAGTACAGACTCATGACGTGGCATAACGTAGTGTTAACATGGTGGGCCGGCACTGTGGACCCTCCAACATATTACAACCGGGAAAGTAAATATACACCGCCATCACTAAATTTCTACATACATTGTGCACAGAGAACTATCAACTTTGGGAATAGATATCTGCCCTCCGCCCTGAATGGCCGCCATATTGAAAAATTGGTGTACTATTTTATTATGCGGTTCTAATCCGTTTTGCAATCTGATTAAAATACAGATCTATATTTCGTTTCGTTTTTTTTTTTTAAATTTCGATGACTTACACTACATGAAGATCTGGTCAATTGTATTGGGAGTCGCGTCAGGGGTCGTACGCGCGGCTTTTGATCCTATGACGTCAGAAATTTGATTAATCAATCAGTCTAGTGGTTTACCCACTGTTCTGTGCATCGCACGCCAAGAAGTCACCGTAACAGATGGTTTCATTGGCCAATTCCTCACACTATCCAGAACGCAGGTTATATAACAACTATTCCAGATCCTAGTGAAGTACAGACAAATAAAACGAATTTTGAACTATAAAAACGAAACGAAATAGGATCTGTGTTTTAATCAGATTGATCCGTGTTGCTTCTTCACAAACATTTGCAGTTCCATTAAACGTGAAAATTGGCACGGAATAAATACTTCTCAAATTCGCGATGTAAACGTAATGCTCTTGACTAAAATCGCCGATGTAGGAATTAAAATGTTGGTCAACTAGCTTCGTGTCAGTTGGGTGGTTGGATGGCCGAATGGTTAGCACGTGTGCGCTGTGTCATAAAGCCTGTCATAGAGTCAACTGGCGTGGTTTCGAATCCCCAGTTGTACGTGACAAGGAGTGGGTCGCCTGTCCAACCTCGCGGGTTTTCTCCGGGTCCTCCGGTTTCCTTCTACTGCTAAAGACCCCTACGCGCAAGCGAATTATTGAAATAAAATTAAACCATAGGTTATTCCCGAAATGACCTAGTTTGTGTCAAGTGGACGTTAAACCCCATTTCTCTCTCTCTCTCTTTCGTGTGTGTTCTCAAATTGAGCTAATTGTTGACAGATAGCGTAACTTTCTTATGCATCTTCGCAGTGCCTACAGAGATGATGACTTAATTTCCGTGATGCGACAAACCGATTCACAAACAAGTACATGCTCAATCACGGAATGACAACTGTAATTGCAAACCATCAGATATACCAATGATTGAATGACTGACGCTGTGACAATCACAAGCAATTGTATTCCACCATGGACTACTCTAGACCCTTCCTGACAGTGTGGGGGCGGGGGCTGGATTATCGAAACTAATAGTTATACTTCTTGTCAGTGCAAGCCCTGGATCCTTGTAAATAACAATTTTGCCTAATTATCAATTCTTTAAGCGGAAAAATATACGTTTCCTGGTATCTGTTCAGCGAGGTAGCAACGCTGATTTAAATTTTAATTCGTATACATATATGGACTGTTATGGTGGATTGAAGAACAGCAGTCTCGATTGTCATTGCTACCGCTGTTACAATAGTAAAAAAAGTCTGAATTATCCATTTTTTAAAATTAAATCATTAATTGCCATGGTGTTTAAATCCGTTAAAAATCAAAATCATCCGATGGTTGATTATGGTTTTGGCATTTTAATAAATGTCTAATTAAAATAATTTAGATAACATTTAAGGCCTAAAAAAGATCTGCAATAGGCAGATTTAACTCTTGCATAATGCATCTTTAAATAACATTAGCCGAACATCAACATTTAATGTAAGAAAACATAATCAAGGAACCAACGCTAGATAATCTCAAGGCTTGCATTCAATTGGTTTCAAAACAGGCCCATCCGTGTGATCAATTTGATTCACGGCAAACAAAGATGGCGGAGTTTATGTTACTTAGGGAGAAGCATAGATCGATGGGATTTTCAATTCGTCATATCTTTGTTAATACTGAACGGAATTGAACCATTTTGGGACAGATAATCCTATTAGAGATTCATCTTTCGCAATTATGTAGTTTGTACGGGATTATTTTAATAAAATCTTTTTGTATTAAATAATTTTAGGTGAACAGCATTGGCGGAAAGTATTGAGGGTTCAACAGATTAAAACAACAACAAGGAATGGATGTGTGTGTAATCGCGATTCCAACTCGTCTTTGATCTATGGAGAACCATCTTCTTCTCAAGTGAGAAATGTCGGACTATTTTCCAGATTATCTTCAAGAATTCGGAATTTCTTACATACTCGAAGAAAGTACGAGATCACTGACTCTACGGAATTGTCGTCGGACAAACCGGTCATTGCGACCGCCAAAGTTAAGCCTTTCCAGTTGAATCATCGAAAAAAGTTTAATTTCCGACATCGGGGACCACATTGTGAAAGGCCTTGTCAAGAAAAACTTCGGTTAAAACGATCTAATGTCGAAGACCGTGTGAAAATAGAAATAACGGCAGACGACATTAATGGAATTAAAGAGCATGATTGCCATGACAACAATACATCACGCTCTACGAACCCGATCAGCTGTACCCGGTCAAGGGATTTATACGCCATCAACAAGCAAAAATCCTCCATGAATTTGACCCTGTTTAACCACACTGGTACCATTCCAACACAGCGAATGCATGGAACATTTCAGCATGACCGAATATCACCCGTGTTGGGAGAAAAAGAAGCCATAAGTTTAGATTTAGGCATACATATTCAAGAGAAGAAAAAGTTGTCTCCCCTCAGGGTTCCTACCACGACCGGGTTGTCCCCGAAGCACCCTCTTGTTATGACAACGAGCTGTCCCCCTAAAGCCAGCCCGGTCGCGACTCAAGGCGAGGGATTCGGTGGATTTCAACGACTTCTAAAGACTTGGCCTATACCCGGAATGAAAATATCAAATGAAGGTAAGTTTTTTTTTTATTTTAATATGTCTTATTAGACTTATTCTTGGAAATTATCTTTAATATAGGCTACAACTCGGGCCTTCCCAATTCCCTCATTTATTTTATTTCATAATGGCCGCACTTCATTTTTCTGTTGTCTAGTCCTTCAGATGGGACGAAAAACGAGGTCCACATGTGTACTACACCAAATGATGATGAATAGGAAATGAAATGAAATGAAATGGGGTTTAACGTCCGACTGGGCAAATTAAGACGGTCATACACCGTACAGAGTGCTATGAGGGAAATTTGGCCCGGACAGTGGCACTACGACCTAATCATATCTAGAATTTCAACTGCCAAGCGATCTTTTACCTGCAAACCAATGTGTACACGGGACCTCGTTATTTCGTCCCATCCGAACGACTAGGCCGTGTCCCTGCCGGACCCTCTATCCTCGCCACTGACAAGAGGAAACCACGCCGGAAAATCTCCATTGGCAGTTGGAATTCGATGTAAGAGTAGGTCAGTTGGGGCAGAAAAGTAGGACGTTAAACCCCATTTCATTTCATTTTCAATTCTTTAACATTTGGTATCCAACCAATTGAAGAATTAGAGTTTTCAAACGTTGTATTTGAGAAATGTGGAGGAACGATTCAATAAGTTTACAGATAACCATAAATAGCACGTTTAAACTCCAGAGTTGACGTGGGGGGTTGGATGACCGAATGGTTAGCGCGTGCGCGCTGTATAATAATGTCTGTCATTGAGTCAACTGGCGTGGTTCCGATTCCCCGGTTGTACGTGACAAGGAGTAGGGTTTTCTACGGGTCCTCCGGTTTCCTCCCACTGCTAAAGACTAAAGACCCCTACGCGCAAGCGAATTATTGAAATAAAATTGAACCATGTGTTAGTCCCGAAATGACCTGGTTTGTGTCGAGCACTCTCTGTAGACAAGGACAGCTGTCTAGTCCTTCGGATGAGACGAAAAACCAAGGTCCCGTGTATACATTGGAATGCACGTAAAAGATCCCTTGGCAGTTGGAATTCGATATAAGAGTAGGCGATAGTGCCGCTGCCCGGGCAAAATTTCCCTCATAGCACACTGTATGGCGTATGCCCGTCTTCATTAGCCCAGTTTAGGAGCAGAACAGTAGGACGTTAAACCCTATTTCATTTCATTTCGTTATATAGATCAATAAAAATTATTGCTACTTCAATATCTCGGTGGTACTTTTTGCTTTGATAAAGTAGTTCAAAACGAACGACGAATTAATATCTATTTATTACGGAGTCGCATGAAAAGTAAAAATATTTCATCATGGTTTTATTGGATGTTTTATGTTTATAGTCACGCATTAAGATCGGCTAATAATAAAGAATAATGGCGTTGACCTTTACCGGAGGCTGTACCTTACAACAAAACATTTAAAAGAGCATCTAAAACATCAAATTTATTAGATATATATTTATAGATTTCTTCTAGACATCGCCTTTTTCCCCATTTTTCTAAAAAGAAATATTTGTTATTCGCTTTATCACATTTATCTTTTATTACATAAATCACATCTCACCTTAAGGGTTCTTTTACGTGCACAATGAGACTCGTTTGTAAAGCCCGTTGTCCTGCATTGCATCACTGACATGGGGAAACCACGCTGGAAATTCCCGGAGACCTTTCTCTGCCAATATCGGGGTTGAACCAAGGACGTCCTGGTTAGTGAGTTAGCACCTTAATCGCCGAGAGAGAGAGAAATGGGGTTTAACGTCCACTTGACACAAACTAGGTCATTTCGGAACTAACATATGGTTTAATTTTATTTCAATAATTCGCTTGCGCGTAGGGGTCTTTAGCAGTTGGAGGAAACCGGAGGCCCCGGAGCAAACCCACGAGATTGGACAGGCAACCCTACTCCTTGTCACGCACAACCGGGGATTCGAAACCACGCCAGTTGACTCAATGACAGGCCTTATGATACAGCGCGCACGTACTAACCATTCGGCCATTCAACCCCCGTCCTGGTTATGGAGTTAGCGTCTTATTCACTGAGCCACCATTTCCCCCAATCTGATTAAAACACAGATCCTATTTCGTTTCGTTTTTATAGTTCAAAATTTCGTTTACTACATGTAGTGTAGGCCATCGAAAGTATAAAAAACGAAACGAAATATAGATCTGTATTTTAATTAGATTGCGATTCCCCCCTACCCCCTATGGTATAAAAATAAACATCTACTATAAATATTATATCGAGATATTTGTATTAAGCTCATTACACCATAAACGTGTGTATGAAAACAGTTGTTATATGACATGTGTTCCATTTCCCCACATTAATTGTCAACTAGACAAACATATAATTTATTTATAAACTACAACACATGCTGCTTGTTAACAACAAAGTGTCTAGCCGTTCGGATGGGAAAAAAAACATACGTCCAAGCGTGTACTCATCAGTACGTAAAATTTAGCCGGTTGTCGTGAAGTTCAAGAAAACGAGAAAACGAATGACATGAAACGAATTATTAATATACACAAGTGCGTCCATGGAGCCGCGGTGGCTCAGTGGGTAAGATGCTGGCTCGCTAACCTGGGGTCCACGTGTTGTCCGATAAAGTTCCCCATGATTTCCGGGTGTGGTTTCTAGTCGGACGGAGGGTCTGGCAAGGGACATTGTCTAGTCGAGCCCTTGGCAGTAGAAATTCCCCAAAAGAGTAGTCCATAGTGCCGCTGTTCGGGCAATATTTCCCTTATAGCTCACTGTATGGCGGAAGCCCGTCTTCAGTATCCCTGTCCCAGTCGGTGAAGAAAAAGGTAGGAGTTAAACCCAATTCCATTTCTTTCTCTTACTCCACGTGACATTACGCAATGTGTCAGGAAGTCAGAGAAAATATTTTTTTTTTTTTGTCGACTTTTCAGACGTGTGGTTTATGATAATCTACATAACAAGATAACATGTCGAGCGTCTCGTTTAGCTTGCGGGAAATTAACAGAAGGTCTATTGACGTCGTATTGTTGGGAAATAATAGTTCACTCGTGTTTTGTGCTGTGGAGAAACTGACACTATTGATCAAAGGTCAAGAGATATTGATAAATAATATATGAATGGTGAAATAAATAGCAAATAATGAGGATACGTTGATATTTCGGTTATTTCCAGTTTCAAACTTAATTAATTCATAAGTATTAAAGTCTCTTAGGAGCTGTTGACTAGCTAACAGGGATAATAGTTCTCAAAATTCTCTAAGTATAAACTATAACACATACTTATGGAAGAACAATTACTGATTTATTTAGGCGGCGTTTCGAAGAGTATTCTCTCAACGTTTTCAAAGGTTGCCTAAATAAATCAGTAATTGTTCTTCCATAAGTATGTGTTATAGTTTATTGGGGGGGGGGGGGGGGGGGGTGGATGGCTGAATGGTTAGCACGTGCGCGCTGTACCATAAAGTCTGTCATTGAGTCAACTGGCGTGGTTTCGAATCCCCGGTTGTACGTGACAAGGAGTAGGGTCGCCTGTCCAACCTCGTGGGTTTTCTTCGGGTCCTCCGGTTTCTTCCCACTGCTAAAGACCCCTACGCGCAAGCGAATTATTGAAATAAAATTAAACCTTATGTTAGTCCCGAAATGACCTAGTTTGTGTCGCGTGGACGTTAAACCCCATTTCTCTCTATATATATATAGTTTATTGCTGTATCCAGTTACTAAATGCCTCTAACAGATCATCTCTAAATATACTTTGTGTTTTAGACTAAAATCATCGAATTAGGAATTACAATGTCGGTCAACTACCGTCGTGTGTGTGTTCTCAAGCATAATTAATTATTGTAGATAGATAGCGGAACTTTCGTGTGTAGCACCATGGGTCGCCTGTCAGACGTGGAGAGCGGACAACAAACTAAAACCGGTCGCCACTTCCGGTGTATGACCCATGCATCTTTTCTTACTACATATCTTAGTAGCACTGTGGTCGTCTAGTATTTTCACTTGTCGTTTTTGCTTCCCCTTCACGTTGTGTATTCTCTTCTTCTTATCTAAATAGTTAAGACGTTTTTACATTTTATATATCCATAGCCGGATACATATATACTAGCATAGTACAATAACACAAAGGTCATTCTCTCAAACCCCATCCAGCCAAAATCACTGGGGCGATTCTGCCGATAGACATTGCTACATCTTTTCTCTTCCAGAATCAAGTTGCTGTCGGACAATTTCCCAAAGATATGATAATCTTGTAGCTTTGAGTCTTGACGTTCAATAATCTAATTGGTCAAATATGATGTAAATAATTATAAAGATTGGTAAATTAGCCTAAAGTCATCGAAACATAACCTTATATAGATAGTGGAAAATTTCTGTAGGAATTTCCAACAAGATATCTGTTATCAACCTAGAATTGAATGTTTACCACATTATGACTCTTTTTTTATATAACAATCTGTCACTCATTCCCTAATTTGATTTAAGTACATATTAGACAATATGACTTCAATACACTGTGTTAACTAAATTACTTATTAAAGATATCATTAATTTAAAGAGCAAAAATTATAGCCATAGCCTTACACGTATGCTATATATGGGCTATTCTATTTAATACTATTTCAAGATGGTCAGGCTTTCTTTATTCATCAAATGATAGTTACCATTTTTCAAATTTTGTTTCTAATCTTTTAAACTACGTTTCTCCTTTTACTTAGATAGGAGCCACGGTGGATCAGTGTGGTATGTCGGAAGTTGTCCTTTATTTAGTATTGTTAGTTTCTGTACATGTTATCGATAGTGCATATCCGGCACCCCTCACCCCACCCCTGAATAAATAATATAATATTATAAAAACCCAACCAAGAATCTAATTTTTATAAATCTGTAATTCTTATTCAAATCATCAGTTGACCATATAGGAAAATAACAACTGTATGCTTACCCAATATTTAAAATTAAAGGAGCTAATCGCTAATATTTGGGACCTAGAAATTGACACAAATGGGTAGCAACGCATATAATAATGTAATAT